TTGAAACTAAAAGGGAGAGAATCAGAAGTGAAGGAAAGAAAAGTAGAAATCATGGAAATAAAGGAAGAGAGATGCAGAAGAGACAAGGAAAAGAACATGAAGAAAGGTTCAGGAAGCATAGCAAAGAATGGAGAAGGAAGAAATAGAAATTATTCGGGATAAACAGGGAAATTAATGCAAGCAAAGGGAAAGAAACAATAGAAATAAAGATGAAAACAGCGAATAATTTAATAAGCTTTAAGTTCAATTTTTTAAAGACTTACTGGTATCTGCATCAATATTTGTGATATTAAAATGCTTTGAGAATTTTATGACTGGCTTCGTTCCACAAAAACTTGGCATCATGTGCCCTGAATCATAAAATCCCTATTTTAAGCCGTTAATACAATGTTCTGTCTGTGATTTTTGCTTCTGGCCACCTTAGACTTATGTTCAGTGAAGACTGGTGAAATTGAAAGACAGGGAAGGTACACAAAGTCGAAAGAAACATAAAAATCTTGCATATATTATCAAACTCTAAGTGGTTGCATTTATCCAGTCCCTTCCAGGCAAGCAAATGGGTGTACTGATTTATCATAGTGGTACATGTATCGACTCTGGTGTTCTGGTCAGCAGTTACATTGATTTCTGGCAAGATGCTTTGTGTGCAAGTGGTTTCCATTGATATAGAATGGATGATCCTTTATATTTCAGTGGTGGACGTTTGTTTTGTTGCTTAACTAAATTCCTGATGGTTGATAGTGTTTATTCCAGTCTTTCACATACAAGGCAATTTTTTTTCTGTCACACTGTCTTAATATATTAATTTTGAATCTAGTGAATTCAAATGTTGTACATTTTGTAATAGATTTTCCAACTGTTGGGCATGGAGTGGTAGAATCCATCATAAAAGAATGGGTCAAGAGTCATGGAGAATGACTGAGCTATTCCAAGGTACAGAGGGAAATGGGTGTTCTTGTTCATGAGTCACACAAAGCTAGTACGTAGGTGTAGCGCATAATCGAGAAAGCTAATGGAATGCTATCTTTTATTATGAAAGAAATTGAATATAAAAGTTGGGCTGTTGTGTTTCTGTTATACTTGGCATGTTGAGATTGTATCTCAAATACAACGTGCAATTTCGGTCTCTTTCTTTAGCGAAGGATGTAAATGGGTAATTAGTGTATAAGAAACTGAATGATCTTGAAAAGGTGAATGTGGGAAAGATGTTCCTTTTTGTGAGTCAGTCCAGAGCTAGGGGGTACTGTTTTAAAATTTTAAGTGCTGACCTTTTGGAACAGAAGTGAAGAGATTTTTTATTCTCTAACAGGGTGTGAAACTTTGGGACTCTTTGCTTCAGAAGTCAGTGGAGGCAGTGTAATTAAATATTTTTAAGACTGGTGAATAAATTCTTCTTAGGCAAGGGGATCAGTAGTAATCTTTGTAGGAAGGGAATGTGGATCTTAAAATGGATTTAAAATGGAAAACATCTGATTAAATGGTAGAGCAGGTTGAAGAGGACAAACGGTCTAGTTTTGTTACCATTTTGTAATTTTTTGTCCAATCACAAAAGGATACCTTGCAATGGGAAGTCCATCCAATTATGCTCAAAGGTTTGGCTGAAACGCACTCTCCTTAAAAGACACTAGAAGATTCACCATGGGAAATTAGAGAAAATGAACAAGGAAGAACTTTTGATTAAATTTAATTCAGTTCATGACTACATAGCTACGGAGCGTGCAGCATAATATATAAACGCAGCATGGGTTTTTTGTTGTGTTAAGAACTTACTAGAGTATATCTTTTTGGTAGTCTGGTAATTTAGTTGTCTCCAAAGTAATGTGTAGTCTAAAACAGCAAAATGCTGCAGATGCTACATATCTAAAATAAAAACAGAAAATGCTGCAGAAACTCAGCCAGTCTGGCAGCATCAGTGACTACAGTCATAAAGTCACATCTTAGAGTCATACTGGATTCAAAATTTTAATGTTGTATCTCTCTCTCCATAGGTGTTGCCTAACTTGTTGTTTCTCCAGCACTTTATATGTTTTAATTCATTATCTACATTTATTTCACTATGTTTGTCACAGTATAAGTCTGAAAATGTGAAATCTTTCTTATGGTCCATTGTAATGGACCGTGGGCAATTCATATCTCTTCTTAAATTTGTTGGTGTATGCGGGAATCTTAATACTATCCATAGGTTTAAATTTGTACCTAAGCATATTATTTTCTCTAGATTACATTTTTTTAGCTGTTTGCAGTTATTGAACTACCACTTCTTGGGCTGTTTGAGGTTGATGCTTTCCTTTGACTGTTAAGTTCATGATAATATTCTCCAGTATTGTTGTTGAGTTGAAGCAGGTGCTGTACATGTACTTGTTCCTCTGTCTGCCAAGTACAGGGCCCTATGTACTAATACATATGTAGATACCAGTATATGCAAGTGCACCACACTGCAAGCACAAATAACAGTTGTAAATTGAATATAATTCTTCACACACCTGGGATTATTCAGCAAATATTGTCCATTTATAGGATCACAAGTAATGTGTGAATTTTGCAAGTGCAGGGTGTTTGAGTATGATTAGTACCTTGCTTATTGTGAACAGTCAACAGGATATTTTGCTCACTATCTGCCAGTCTTTGGAATACATACTTACATACCTGGAACTATACAAGTATGGAAATTCATACACTGCATTACTCGTTATGTGATTGGCAGAAGATCTTTTTGGGCTTAATGACAGCATCCTGTTTGGTGGAGAACATCACTTGTGAAAAACTGATGAAAGTGTTGCAGTGAGTTAACATTATTAGCCATTCCAACATTTAATCAAGATTTTATCCCTCACTATCTTCATATAATATACAATGGAATAGAAAGCATAGAAAATGAAAGCTGGTGCATTTTTTATATTTGTATATTTATATTTTATATTTTTATATTTTTTATATTTTATATTTTCTGAAGTTTCAATTTGAAAGCTCAAAACAGCCTGAATTCATTATTCTTTTTGGACAGGGAACAATATATTTATAAGATGTGGATTTTCTTTTCTTCTTTCCTTAATTTCCATTCTGAGAGACCTGGTAGATCCCTGTCTCCCTGACTTCAGCCTATGTCTCTGATCCACCAAACATCCTGGATTATCCTGGCATCTGCAGGAAATGAGCATCAATCCCCTGGTTACTTCTTGGAAAAACCCTGAGGAAAATTCTTAGGTGCATTGTAAAAACTTTCCTTATCATTTTATTTCAGCCTTCTCATTTTTTAGTTACAGAAATGTTGGAAATGATGAAAAGCTTGTTTAATTATACATCTCTGTTTCAGCTGGGAGACCTTTGTGTTGAAACCTCTAGGAATTTCTGAAGAAGGGTCTGGGCCTGAAACGTTAGCCTTCCTGCTCCTCTGATGCTGCTTGGCCTGCTGTGTTCATCCAGCTCTACACCTTGTTATCTCAGAACTCTCCAGCATGTGCAGTTCCTACTATCTCAGGAATATATTCAGTCTGTTTTGTCAATCCAACATGATAGTGACAATCTCTTAGTTTGGGTGCAGCGTGCTGTTGGAAAGCATATTATTTAAGGCACAAGTATGTTCTGTGCCGCAGGACAACAGAACTACTGAACTTGAACGATAGACTTCTTCTCAAACTCTTTCGGTAAATATTCTTTCCTGCTGCCTCTTTCATTGTTTTTCCTTCTCCTTTATTTGATTTTGCAGTCAGCAGTGAATGCACTGTACTCACATTAATATTAAGAAAAGCTGACCACAAAGCTTTGATAGACTCCACAGCTCAGCCTTTCTCCTTTTTATTGTCAGTTTGAATTCGGCATTCTACAGCAGATCTATAACAGGACAGGTAGCAGCAGAGATTAATTAACTAACCAGGTTGAGGAATTCTCTTTACTGACAAAGCAGAAAACCAATTACAATATTTACTCCAATATAGAAATCTAATTGCCCAATTGGACATTGAAATAGAAACAAAAATCTCACTTGTAAACATATTGATATTGCTCGCACTGTTAATAACTCATGCCGCACAAGTGGGAGTCAGCCTGGTCATGTGACCTCATACTATTGATAAGAATGAAGGTCCTAACATGCTTTCTTATCTGCCCTTGACAATGTCATTCCACATGTTACATGTATTTTGGGCCAGTACATAGACTAACTGGAAGTGAAAGATCCTCATGGAGCATACTTTGAGAACTACATTTTCTTCTAAAGGAGTCAGACTTAATGCTTTAAAATTTCTTTTTTTCAGGGCAAGAGAGGTTGTTCAGAATTCTGACAATATGGAATTAAAAGCTCAATTACTTGCGATGGAAGATGTCTTAACTTTTTTTTCAGTCTTTACAATGGGAATTGTTGATTTTGGTTTAAATTCATACTAAATCAATAATTGATTTGCTAATTCCATTGGCAAAGAATGCAAAAATACAGCCTTTGGAGGAGTGGACTGTCACTAGCAGCAATTCGCAGAATTTCTCAAAGCTTTGGAGGGATATGGGTCAGAAGCAGGCAGGTGCAATCAGATTAATTTGGGGTTATAGTCGGCATGGACTAGTTAGACAGAAGGGTCTGTTTCCATGCTGTGTGACTGAATGACTTTATTTGCAGACACCAGAATTTGCCCTTTGTTTTTCCAAAAAAATTTATAGCAAGAGATAATATTCTTTATTATTACCACTGCAAATCCAACTCATTACATTCGTCTGGTGGTCAAACCAAGAAATAGCACAATCTATATATTGTTCATTACTTAAATCAAAAACCAGAAAAGTTAGATATGAACTTTCTGCGTGAGAAATGTAAATCTAAATATGCCCTAGCAGTTGGTGGTAGTTTAATTTATGTTTTTTAAGAAAAACATAATTCATGGGCAAGCATCAATTTTAAGATGTTTTGAGACAAGTGTTTTTATTTGGAATTCTGTTGGTATGAAGAGTAGATATTCCCACTGTAAAATGCTTTAAATGTTAACTGTTTAAAAAAAACTGTGTTTTCACAGGTGTTTTATCCATGTTTGGAAACAGCATTCTCTTGTTTGTAGCATACCGGAAAAGGCACACCCTTAAACCTGCTGAATATTTCATTGTAAACCTAGCTGTCAGTGACCTTGGAATGGTATTAACTCTATTACCACTTGCCATACCATCATCTTTTGCACACAGGTAATTAAAACACACACAAAATAATTCATAGCAAATTCAATTTCATTTGTTGCCGTGAGCAATGTAAGGATCAACAAGAAATAGGTAAGAAAAATTGCTGACATTGATTTGTGCAATTCAATTAGATTTGGTTGAAATTTTTGTTTTATAAATATAACACAAAATCCTCCAAAATCTCATCATCTGGAGAAACAGGAAAGTCAATCCCAAGATATAATCACACCACAAAACAAATACCTCACAAAACACATCTGAAATGTTGAGATTTCAACCGAAAAAATGCATCTGCCTCTTTGACACCATGGGTGTTGTTTTACTTCCAGACTAGCATCCACACCATATGCACTCGGTCTGGAGCAGGCCACACTGGATTTGATTTTGCTAATACTGTACCTGACAAGTACATACAGAGTAGACCACAGAGTGTGATGTCAATCAATCAGCACGTAAAGCTGTTTTGACTCTAGTCGTGGCACGCGGTATCATTTTTGACATCAACATTCTAGCTAACCCTTTAACCTCACTCAGCTAAGCATCCATTCAATAACAGGAAGGAAGTGTCATCAGTATTATTTAAAGGGACCATTAACCACTCTCAGGTTAGTTGCTGATCAATTTCTACTAGTTGTTGTTGGGCTAAAAGAAGTGTTGCATGGAATTGAGGAGAAATTGACTTATTTGGAATAATTAGGAGGAGTGATTAACAAAAGGTAGTCAAGGAATTGGGTTTAAAAGAGGAGCAATAATTCCGGAAAGTAAGATGTAGTCAACTAAAATTATGGTATGAAAGGATGCAGATGGATATTCGGACAGCCAAAACTAGAGAGACTCCACTTTCTTGAGGATTTGTGCCTGTCAGAGAGCTAAAGGCAGTTATAGGTGCAAGGAAAGGTAAGGGCATGATAAAGTTGAAGCATAAAGATGATCATTTTAAAGTTTGGGATTTTGGGGAACCGAGGGAAAGGGCAATTTTGAAGTATTTGTGTACAAAAATAGAGAAAACTTCCTTAATTTAAGCATTTGTAACAGATTTTAGGGGACAAAGTCAAGTATTACAAGAAGAATATGCAGGCAATAGATTTTCTGACTTTTTATCAAAGTTACACAATCAGTCCATAAGTTAGCCCTTAAGCAACCAAATATTTTCTGGTAATTTGAGGAGGTGGTGACATAGTGTTAACATTACTGGACCAGTAATTGAGAGTCCCAGGCTAATGTTCTGGAGGTATTTGTTTGAATCACGTTGGGGTTCAATAAAAATCTGAAATTAAAAGCTAGCCTAATGGTGACCATATAACCAAGATTGTTTGAAGTCTTTCAAGGAAGAAAATCTGCCTTTTTTACTAGGTCTGGCCTACATGTAATTCCAGATTGACAGCAATATAGCTTACTCTTAATTGCCCTCTAAAAAGGCCTAGTGAGCCATTTGGTTCAAGGCAATTAAAATGGACAATAAATGCTGCCCCAGCCAGCAACGTCATCATTCCATGAATTAATCAAAAACAGTTTAAAGAAGCAGTTTTCAGTTTGTCAACAGTCATAAAATGAGTGATTCTCTTTTAAGAGATATCTAAAGCTACAATTTTCAATTATGAACTATGCCTCTTGAAATATAGTTTTATGTCCATGAAGATTTCTCACACATCCTAGTTGGCCAATTTGTTAGTCTGTTACTGATTCATACATATCCAACATTAGGTGGTCTTTTTAAAATTTTCATGGAACCACCATCACTGTACCATTCTGATCAATGTTTTAATCCCAATTTGCAAATATCCTATAGCTTTTTTACAAGTTAGGAAAAAGGAAATATTATCATAGGCGTCCGTTTATAAAGTTATTGCTGGATAAAATGTTTTTACCCCTTTTCCATAAATCCTTTTTTTTTAAACATTCCATATGTGGCTCTTTTTTGAAATATTCAAAGAAGATCTCTAGATAAGTGGATGAATGAGAGAATTAAGAATTACGTTTCAAATAAACTAATTTGAATGAGACCTGGATGTAGAAATTAATTGGCAATGGAATGGAGCAAGACAATTATATGCAACATTGGGTTACAGGAATGCTTGACAACAAATAAGATGTGACAGAATAGTATACTGAGGAGGAAATCTGAATGAATATAATTTGACTCTGAATGTCAAGTATTTTCTAGTTCCACCATAAGCTCAGTGCTGAAAATGAAGGGCCAGTCATCAAGTTGAGTTCAAAAATTTTTAGAAGTTGTGAAAGTAGCACGAAACTTCTCCAATTTAAGATTAGAAAAAGTTGTGAAAAGCAAATTTGAACTTTATTAGATTAAAACAATTTGCATATATATCTCAACATATCATGTGAAGCATTTAGTCTTTACCACCTGAACACAGGACAGAAGGATACTTTAATTTTTGTCTGTCTAGTCTTACAGGATAACTAATGCAGTGATCTCTCTTCCAGATGGTTGTTTGGTCATGGAACATGTATCTATTATGCATTTTGTGGTGTGTTATTTGGTATCTGCAGTCTTACTAACCTGACAGTATTGGGTGTGGTCTGCTGCATTAAGGTTTGTTACCCTGCATATGGTAAGTTCCAAATTTTTCTTTCTTCATCACTTAATTTTTACAAGACATATTGAATTCCAAATGTAATTTTATAAACATTTGCAATTATACATGAACCCTAGACTGCTTCTTCTGCAGAAAACAATATAGAACTTAAAGCACAAATATAGACATTCCAACCAACTACACTCTGACAGTATTTATTCTGCACATTGACATTCTTTCCACTCTGCTTCTTTGAATAATGTCAGTATATCTTTCTATTTATTTCTCCCTCTCATATACTTATTTATCTTCCCCTTAAGTACATCAATATTACTAAGCATGTCCAGACCCTCTACAATAACTCCTGTGTAAGTGTATGCAAACACAAATAACACAAGAATGCTATTAATTGGATAACCAAATTCAAATAGGATGACATATTAGCAACATTAATGTTTAGCTGTTACAATAATCCAAACAATCTACATCATCCAAAGATAATTATAGAAATTATGCATTGAACCTTAGTAATGTTTTACCTAAGTTAAGAATGGCCCAGAAATTGCTAGAAAATGCTGTCATTTCATATCACTGCCATGATTAGAGTCTAAGAAAATCCATCATTTTGGACAATGAAGAGATTTGTCATGTCAGGACAACTTCAAAAAAAAAAATTGTTACCTTGCCATTGGCCTCCCTATTGTGTATCATGCAATTGTTGGTTATTAATGCAGTCATTAATACAAATTAATCTTGTAACAATCAGTTAGGGCTCATAATTCATGTTGTCAAGATTACATGATTTATGGTCCAAGTGTGCCATTCAACCTTGGTGGCCAGCGAGAGAACTCTGAAACTGTAAATACTGTTCCATCAGCAGTAAATTGTGCTTTGAGGTTTTAAATAGTAAATGCCTTAAACTAAAGAAAAAACTTATCTTTTTCACTTCTTTTCGCCTCCCTTAATCCATTCTCTTTCATTTCCTTTAATTCTCTTCATGTAGCTTGACTCTCATTTCCAATACTCCCTCCTCTCTAATTTACTTTGTTTCTTGCTCTGACCTTAAATTTCATTGCGTACCAATGGTCCCAAGCACCACATTCACTTGGAGAGAGAAGTTTCTGAAGAAGGGTCTTCATTTTCTGAAGAAGGATCCAGATCTGAAACGTCAGCTTTCCTGCTCCTCTGATGCTGCTTGGCCTGCTGTGTTCATCCAGCTCTACACGTTCTTATACCACATTCACTTGGTTGCCTCATTATCAATTCACTTTCCCAGCAGTTTGTGGTACAAAATAACTGGAGTTGATGGGTGGAGGAAGAATTCTAACTAACAGCCTTACTTCTGGGTCAATGTTACAGCATACAGCTACATGGAAGACAAAAATAGATTCATTCCATCATTCTTCCCTGAATATATTTGCAACATTCAAGAAATTTAGCAGCCAGTACAGCAACCAGTTATTTGCATAAGGCAGGCAATTTTTGTGTTTCTGCTAATTTGTTCTCAAGATTCTGTAGTGATTTTGAAACACTGCATCAGTAAAACAAACAAAATAGGCTTGAAGAGTTGAAAAATTCATTTCAATTCCCCTTCTCAAGTTTGCAAGGGCAGGCAGGTAGTTAAATTGGAGTGGGTAAAGGACTCACTCCGTTCCCACTCAATTCCGATTTTAAAAAGACTGATCTTTCGGTGTGTGCAGCACCTTCTTGAGTGCAACGTGATCTGCGCAAATTGGGATACCATTCTGGTAGATAATAATGCCATCTTACCTTGGATATGAGTAGAGTGTCCATAGCAGCTTCAACCTGAGCCTGAAAACTGAATGTTCAGGCCATTTTAAAACTACTTTGTTGGACCTGGAGGTTAAGGAGCTTGGTGGGATCCTTCATGCAGACAGGTTCCTCATGATTGCACATAGGCCGCACATGCAAGATGCATTTATACTGGGCTGAGTATGCCATGCACCAGCTTCACCCAGTAGAGCTCAGAGAACTTTGAGGGAAGATATGTTGGAAAGTTCATGAAGTAAATAATAGTACTACTGGCTTAGAGTGGACTAATCAGCAATTTTTAAATGGAAATACTATAGGACTTCTCCAAAAGTGGAAAAGTCGACTAATTTGTGTGGTCCTCCCTGCTATCCCCTAACAATTCCCCAAGGTATTGCCATCTTGCCCTAGATCTAAACATGATGCCACCTTGACAAAGACATGTTAGTGAGGCCTGACTAGTGTCCTTCATGCAGTGGTTGTCTAAAGTGGTTATGGGAGTCAGGGTAAAAACTATAGCATCTCCTTAGAATAGAGCTGCCCAGGATTGGATTTAGCTTTTGATAAATATTCTGAAATGAAACTTTTCTGGGGGTTGATGTAGCATTTGCATAATACATTTCTTGCCGAAAGCAAAAAGGTGGCAAACAGTCCACAAGGGAGTAAATTGCATGTCATCTCTGACGGATTGGGTTTTGATTCATCTTTCCATTTGCTAAAATGTTTTTGAGCTCCAGTAATTGGTACTCCTGGTTTGCTTCTAATCAAATGTTTTTACATTTTTATTCTACAATAGGCAACAGATTTACATCAAAATATGCATTTCTCCTAATGACTTTTGCTTGGGCATATGCTTCCATATTTGCCATCTCTCCTCTTGCAAATTGGGGTCATTATGGACTGGAGCCTTATGGAACTGCTTGTTGCATTGATTGGAAAGCACCAACTACACATACCAATGCAATGTCCTATATTATTGTACTTTTTGTGTTTTGCTTTGTCTTCCCCTGCGGTATAATCATTACATCATATGCCCTCATCCTGTTAACTATAAATGGATCAAGGAGAGCAGTGCAACAGCATGTATCGCCACAAACAACCTCAAGCAATGCTCACAATCTAATTGTAAAGGTAAGCCTGGAAATATTTTATGGTATTTTTAATTACTTCATGGGAACAAGAGAACAACTTAGCTAGAAACTCTGACCTGTAGTAATTAAAGTCAATGTTAGATTGAACTGTGGTGGGAGAGATTTGGGACATGACCTGGGCTCAGTATCAGCTTTTTTATTGCATAATAAAATGTCTGATGCATTGGGAAACCTGCCTAATAGCCTGCATACAATATCAAAAAAAGTCATGGAGGAGCTTCATGCCAGCTTCGTACAGGGCTTTGTACACTGCTTGGGGCTCTTCCCAGTGAGAGTGGAACTCCATTAGTACACCTACAGATCCCATCCTGATGGCACTGTATGAAGAGTGATCATCAAATTCCCATTGCAGCACAAGCAAAAACCTTTCAATGATGTGGTACTGCCATGTGAGCTCAACTTGCTGCCATCATCGCTGTAAAAGGTGTTCAGAGGGGATCCTCCAAATAACTGAAATAACTAACTAAAGCAGACACTCGATGCATTTGTATCAAGATTAAAAGTAAGGTAAATTCGTCATAGTCCCAGTGGACCACAGGGCTGCTCTCTCATTAGAGAGAGGTGACTCATGTTGATTGTTTAACCTTGGGGTCACCATGCCTCAGGGAAAGGGAGATGTTGAAAAGGGAAGACCTTCATGGTATCCTCAACCAGTGCAGGAATTGTACGCATGCTGCTGGCATCACAAGACTATTTATTAAATAACAAAAATTATGCTTAACAAACAAAAGCAATCAGTATCCTAGTTCTGGTGATGCCTTTTCTTTACAGGCACTCCACAAATACACACTGCCAATACTTCCACTGCCCTCACCATCACCACATCAAAACCGGTGAGACCAGGTCACAGCTTGCCCCAATCTACTTCAATGCTCTTTAAAGGTTCCTGGTAGAGGTCTTGTGTAGTAGTGGTAGTGTCCCTATCCTTGAGTTAGGAGGCCTGGGTTCCTGTCCCATCTGCTCCAGAGCTCTGTACTAACATCACTGAGCAGAACAATTAGGAAAATATTTTCAAAGGTTCCTCAAAGCATCACTATGTCCTGTTAATTGGCCACTATGAATAAGCCATTCTAAATCCTACTGCCCACTGAAGCGCCAGCAGCTGAACTCACCAGCAATCAATAAGATTCAGCTGGATATTTCAGACTGTTGTGTAAGTGAGTAGTAAGGTGTATGTAATATTATACTGAAGCAGTTTCTTGCTTTTTCTCTCCATCAAAGGAAGCTTTCTTCCTTGACAGTTCTCCTTAAAAGCTCAAAACAAGCTCTCTGATTTGAACAATGTAAGATGTCTAATGGTTTCAAAAATGTTATCAGGACCAGTTTGATTTTGACAACTACCTATTCATCATTATTTGTCAATTGCCAAAATTCTGTTACTATTGTACCAAGTTAATTTGGAATAAGGAAGCTAGTTGCTTACTGAACACTGAGTTAAAAATGTTAACACCAATCTTAATGAAAAATGCTTCATTTTTGTCACAATCATTATGACTGTGAAATAAAATCTGCGACTGTTGACTTCTCATTATTTTACAGTTAAGTGTGGCTGTGTGCATTGGATTCTTAGCAGCATGGACCCCATATGCAATTACAGCAATGTGGGCTGCATTTGGGAACGCTGACAAGGTTCCACCACTAGCATTTGCTCTGTCTGCTATATTTGCAAAATCATCTACATTATATAACCCAACTGTCCATCTGCTGTTTAAACCAAACTTTCGAAAGTTTTTGAACAAAGACATGGCATATTCACTCAATCTGTGCAGCTGGCAGAGCAACCCTGCAAGAGAGCATCAGACCTGTCTTTAAAATCAGCCTGCGACCAGATCACGTTGAATTCTTGCAAACTTACAAATAGATTTGTGGATCTGCGTGATGTCTACAACACATGCAGTAACACATTTGAAAGTTTCAGTAACCATCCAAGATCTCAGAGTCCAGGAGCAAACACTGATATTTCGAGTGATATTAGTACAACACATAGTCATATGAAAACCACAACCTTTGTGATGCTGACTACAAACATGACATCTTCGACTGGACATGTTGAGGTCACAATAGACAAACTTCCCATCAAACTAGGAACTAATATAACACTATTATAAAATATTGTTACTTTTTTTGTCACTTTGAACAATGAAGGCATTGTGCAGATCTACTTAGCTTGACAAAGTAGGCATCAGTATGGTAAAGATGTGTCCAAAAATCGAGAAATATGTCATAAACTTTGCCAGTTTTAGTACTATAATTCTGTATATTTGCCTTAAGTTTGTAAAGTACTGCATTAACACGTTTCAAAATTTTGTCTAAGGATTTGAACAGTCTTAAATAAATAGGAATTAGAATTAGAATAAGAATTATCTTTATCGTCATATGTACTCACATGAGTACAGTGAAAAGTTTACAAGTCGTTGCTTATGGCACCATCTTAGGAAGAAAGGTACCTAAGTACAGATTCTTGAGTGCAAATTTTGAGGAAAAAGAGTAAAACAAAATAAAAGGTCTGACATTACAGATCTTTCAAAAGTACAAGATCATAGTAATAAATTAGAAGAATAAAGAAATAAAACATGTTATGAATGTGTTAGTGTGGTTGTTTATTAATATCATGCAGTACAATTTTCCTCTTGTATGTAGAAAGATGATTAAATATTCCAGGGATGCTGCTTGGAACTACAATTCACAACAACAGATGTGTTGGTGGTTGGAGAAGGGGGGTGGGGGGCAGGGGTGGTGTGCATAAACAGCTAAAGTAAGGTATATTTAAATTGTAACCACAACCCAGCTCCAATGTGCCCACTTTCACTTCTAACAAAGTGGGATGAGCAACCTACTCATTCAGGTCAGGATTTTAATATTTTCTAATCATCTTGTTCAGTGATGTTATTTACACACCTCTGGAACAGGTTGGATTTGAACCTAGATTATAAATCCACACTTTATCAGTCTTCTTTTATGCACGTTTCTGTTGTTTGATTACATCTGAGGAGCTGTTCCTTTACAATATTTTCCAGTTCTGAGGAAGATCAATGCCTGAAAAGTTGACCTGTCACTTTTTTTTAAATATAGAAATTGTATCTGCCTTGTTATGTGTTTCCAAATTGCCCATTTTACCTTCACTGACATGTTAGGCAGAATTTTCTGAGCCCCTGTCAGCAGGTTTAGTCAACAGTTCTGGGTAGCATTCCTGCTGTGTAGCCACCTGCATCCAACCTGACAGATGATTTGTTCTTGAACTCAAATTTCACCATTTCCCATTGTAGGATTTGAACCTATGTCTCCAGGAAATTGGCTTGGGTTTACTGGATTACTAGTCCATTGACATCGTCATTAAGCTATTACTACTTCTACTGCAGGCTGTCAGAAATTTTATGGAGGTGGGGCGACCTCCACATAATTAGCTAAAATTTACCATTTAAGGGCTGCTTCCCAAATGGGTTCAATTTTGAGACAGATGGGGGTCAGGGACTTGAAGGAAGCCCCAACATGTTAACCTGCACAGACCTCTGGAGGAACAAAAGAGAGATTCCATCAATGACCCTGTTTTGTTCCACAAACTCCACCAGTCTGACAGTCTGCCCATCAGGAGATCCCCTCTCCCACAGGACTTCCTTAAACAATTCTCACCTCTAACCCCATCTTGGGGCTACCACTCTTGTCCTCTTTATGAGACCCACAGATGTAACTCCCTCTTGGTGTCCCAGCATTTAGGACCTAGGAACTGCCTGTCATCACAGAAGTGGCCACCACTCCTGGTGGAGTAGTTGGGACCACAAATCTGCTGGTTAATTAGATTAGCTGGCAGTTCTGTGGGGTGGGAGTCCCAAATGAGGGGCAGAATTTCTATCACCAGCAAGTTAATGAAGAAATGGCCTAGGGCTGCTGACGTCAGTGGCAAAGGTTCTCTATTGACTTCTATGGCTATAAGAACATAAGAAATAGGAGCAGGCTAGGCTATTCAGCCCTCAAGATGGCCCAAGCATTCAACAAGAACATACCTGACCTGAATTGAGCTTCAGCTCCTCTTTTATGAAATCTCATCATCATATTCAACACCCCAATATTTTAAAAATCTATCTACCTCCATTTTAAATACTTTCAGTGATGTAACCTCCATATCTCTCTGGGGTAGACTACTCCAGACATTTTGCATCTCAGTTTTAAATGAGTGTTGCCTTATTCTGTAACTAAATTAAACTTAATCAGCCAAATGTATGCCCAATCACTTAACATATTTAAATTCCTTTGAAGATTCGTTATGTCCTTATCACAACATGCCCTTCTACCTTTTTTGTATCGTCAGCAAAAATGGATACATTACACTCTGTCTTCCCCAGGTCATTAATGTATTTAGAAAATATTTGAAGTTGTAGGACTGATCCTTATGGCACTCCAGTTGTTATGTCTTTCCAACCTGAAAAAGACCATTAATCCCAACTGTTTGTTTTCTGTGTGTTAACCAATCCTCAATCCATGCAATAAATTACTCCTCCTACCCTGAGTTGATATCTTGTGTAATAACCTTTCTGTGACACCTTATCAAATGCTTTCTGGAAACCCTAATATACTACATCAACCAGTTCCAGTGCTTGTTGTAGCCTCAAAGAACTCAGGAAAATTTGTCAAACTGATTTCCCTTTCACAAAACCATGATGACTCTGTTTGATTGCTTTAAACTTTTCTAAATGCCCTGGCATTTCTTTCTATTTTACTGATGATAGATGTCAGGCTAATTGGCCTATAGTTCCCTTCTTTCTATGTCCCTCCCTTCTTGAGCAGGGATGTCACATTAGTGGTTCTCTGATCTGTTGGAATTCTCCCATAATCCAGTGCATTTGGGAATATTTCGACCAATGCCTTTAGTATCTCTGTCGTCACTTCCTTTAAAACCTTTGGATGCAAGCAGTCAGGTCCTAGTGACCCATCTTCCTTTAATCCCATTAGTTTTCAAATCCTTTGTCCCTCACGATAGAGACTGTTGGAAGATATTTACTCCCGTTTCCACCTTGCGCATCTGTTACCTTTCAGATGTTTATAGTGTGAAGAACATCCATGCACAAAATCATTCTTATTCTAGTCAGATTCATGAATCTTAAATAAAATTGGTATTTGATTACAGTAGGGTTGAATGCTATGTTCTCATTTACTGAAAATCTCCCTTGATTTACAATTCTCCAATCCCAGTATTAATATCAACATAATCCTATGAATCTTCAAAAGATGATGATCACTGTGTTGTGTGGATTTGGGCTATTGCTAAATGAACAGCAAATACTTGGAAGTGTTAGCAAACCATGTACTAATACAACAGCAGAATTTTCAAATGGCAGGGTTTCTCACAGCATTACCATAAAAGAAAGTATCCAAACAAAAACCAAAGCATACAAAATGGCCTAAACTAATGGTAGGGAAGAGGATTGAAAAATTTTAGGAAGATGGCGAAGATTGATGCAAAATATTGGTTTAAATTATCTTCCATTTCCCTGTTCCCTATTATCATGCCTCAACTGTATACTTCAAGAGTCCCTCACTAACTTTAGCTACTCTCTTTTGTTATAGAAGCTCTTGCTGTTTGTTTTTATATTTCTTGCCAATTTACATTCCTAATAATTTTCTCACTTTTTATTAGCCATCTAGTCATCCATGGCTCATTCCTAAAATTTTCCAATCCTCTGGCCTGCTCTTCGTTTATGCCATTTTGTACACCTTGGTTTTTGATTGGATACTTTCTTTTATGGTAATGGTGTGAGAAACCCCGCCATTTGAAAACCCTGCATTTGTATTGGTACGTGGTTCACTAAACCTAACACAGTGACCATTATCTTTTGAAAATTCATAAAGTTATGTAGACTGGGGACTGGTGATTGTAAATCAAGGAAGGTTTTCAGTAAATGAAAATATAACATTCAACTCTACTGTAATCAAATACCAATTTTGAATAAGGTTAATGAATTTCAGTAGAATAAGAATGAATTTGTGCACAAGTAGTCAAATATCTCTGTCCCTGCTGAAACAACGTCCATCTTGAATACATATCAATGAAAAAATTGCAGATCATAATTGAATATGTAATTTTGGATTTTAAATTGTTTACTTTCTGATGAATTCTTCATTTATAACAAGTTATTTCATGCTGATTATGTCACCAGCTGAGTTACAACATTTGGTGGCCTTGTGATTCTCAAGCTCATCTGACATCTGAGGTCAAGAATTTGCCCAAATTGCTGCAGTGATAGAACCATGTCAAATTTCCATGGCTGGCTGAAGAAGTGGTCTTTGGAAGTAGTTTTTAACTCCAAAAAAAAACAAATTATGTTAATGTAAGCCCCTGCTTTAAAATGTACGGTGTTAATGTAGTCACTGAGTGAAATTTATAAACTGTATGCAAACATGTTATAAAATTAATAAAACTGGAATAAGAAATAACAGCGATTAAAACAAGATGAGAAAGGTAGGAAAGATGGACATAACCTAGGGGATAAGAAAAGACAGGGAAAGCAGAAAAGTATTCGATATTCATGATTTGTGCTCATTTATATTTTGACAATAGAGCATTAAAGCCAGTACCGCTAGCATTATCATTACTATAATAAAGTGATTCTTATGCATCACAGTGTCTGAGCTGAAATCTTATATAGCAGTACAGAACTTACTGGTGCTGACAGTGTTGTAGGGATTAAAGTTACAGTAATGATTAACGATTGCAATGAATAGTATGACAGCAGTGATTCATGTTTTGGCTCTTGGGTCTTTCAGCCACCTGGAACTGATTACAGTGTCATTGGGTGACTTATACCTGGAAACTAAGTGTCATAGTATACCAGAATTCTGGCAAGTTTAATGATTTCCCTTAGAGTTTAGATAAACAGTGACCAGATCACAAAATAATTATACTACTGTGGACTTCCCTGCAAGGGTGTGTATAGTTTACTGGATTTAAATGGCTACAGGTAATCTCAGTCAATCTGATGAGTTTTTCCATTAGCTCAATACGGAGGTGCTCCATTTTATGGAGAAAATAATCTTCCTGAAGACTGTCAAGCTCCCAGTTCAATATATGACTCATTTTATTGTTAATTAACATCTATTTCTGCTCAGATAAGTA